CCTACCTGCCTGCCTACCTACCTACCCACCTAGCTACCTAGATACCTAGCTACCGAGCTACCGAGCTACCTAGCTACCTAGCTACCTTTATATCTATCTATCTATCTATCTATCTTTCTATCTATGTATCTTTCTATCTGTCTATCTATCTATCTATCTATCTATCTATCTATCTATCCAGCTATCTATCTATCCATCCATCTATCTATCTATCTATCTATCTATCTTGTACACCCTATTCACTCCTAGGCCTGGGCCTGGTTCTGCGAAGAATCCGTGTTCCGCTGCAGCTGGCCCAGTCGGACCTCGAAGGTCAGCCCGGGAGTCTGAAAGCGAGTTTCTCTTTAGGGTTTAGGGTTTAGGGTTCAGGGTTTAGGGTTTAGGGTTTAGGGTTCAGGCAGTGGGTTCTTTGGGGCTTTGGGCTTCGGGCTCGGGTTTTAGAGGTTACGGTTTGGGGCTTAGGCTTTGAAGCTTTCGAGCTAGAGTTTGATGGGTCTTGACGGGTTTCAGACATGTGAGGCGGTGGAAACGTGACCGATCGCATGAGGGTTCGGCTGCAGCAGATCTGGGAGCTCCTCTCGGGCGGCTCGGATCAGGAAAGACCATCAAGTTGTCCAAGGTAGCAGCAGGCAGCTGTTAATTTTCTCTCTTTAATCGGCTTGTAGAGATCATGTTGGCTTGGGCATCTTGAGCAGTGCGTTTTCTTTGCTTGTGGCTGAGGCTTCGACAACATGCTCTCCAAGGAATTTGAAGCCGCGGTTGCAAAGGAGTTGGGCTTGAAGTCCGATGCCCTGAGCCCTCTCGGCCATGCCGACAAGGCTGCCTCTGCTTTTGCATGGGAGCTTTTTTTCGCCAGGGTTGACTGGCGAGTGCAAGATTTTGCTAGCAAGGTGTTTCATGTGGCTATGGGTTTTCGATAACTCCTTGAGATGAAGCTCCAGACAGCCGAGGCGTTACGAGTATCGTCAGAGGACCACGACATGGAAGCTTGGTTCAAAGAAGACAGGCAGAAAAGAAGAGAGAGCCCCCTATGACATAAGGGTTTGTGTGTGTTTGTGTTTTTTCGGTGGCCGAGCCCCATATCTGCACACAGGCCCAGGCTGGGGGCTCTACGGGATTAGCTTAGGGATCAGGCGCAGCCCAGTGCGCATGGGGAAGGGGTTTCGAGCCCCGGACCCCAAACGCCTCGCAAGCAAGCAGGCAAGCAAGCTAGCAAAACTGAGCGTGTGTGTGTGTGTGTGTACTGTCCTAAAACAGGGGAGCTCCGTCCAACGAGGTTCTCCCCTACACCCCAGGGAAACGTACCTGCTTCGCCTGCACCTGCGCCCTCAAGGGAAGCACTCATCATGTTCATCTGGCATAGCGAGGGGCCGAGATCACTTACACATCATCTCATCTGGGTCTGTTTTGTATTCCATGCCTTCGGTCTGGCATACATGGCACCAAAATATCTTTTCATTTTCGTGTTCATTACCATTATCATCATCATCTTGTTTCATGTTGCCAACCATGAGAGCACCTGAGCTTTGAGAAAGTGTGTGGGGTTGTAATTGCAGATGTTCGTCTGCAGTTTCGGGCCCGACTTGGTGTGTCAACTCCGTCCATGTCCCGAAAACGTGGCCTTGAACTGTTGACTTCGCCTCTTCCTGTTGGACCTGTTCTGTTTTTCGCCCCCACGTTCGGGTCACGCTTCGAGATGTTGAAGTTGCAGAAATGACACGGATCACCGTCTCTTTGGTCGTCAGTAATGCAAGCAGGCGCAAAGCAAACACACCAAAGATTCAATGTGGGTTTGGAGTTTCAGGGTAGTGGCCCACGGCAACGAAAAGTGGACGTTGTGAGTCGTTAGGGTCTAAAGTCGTGCCACTGTGAGTACAGGCTGTCCTCGCCAGCATGAATCCTGTCATTGTGAGTACACGTGTTCCGACTCATGGTAACAACGCTTCCTCCCATCGGTTTCCTTACGAAGTCGTGGCCTCTGAGAAGAAGAAGAAAGATGTGGATAAGGATCGTGGACAAAGGGGAACCGAGGCCTGGAGAACGCACGGCCACAATATCTTCTCCCCACAGTTTTCCCCCTAAGCCTCAGAAAGAAAGGGAGACGACAAAACAGACAGGGAGAGACAGAAAGAGAAGCTTGATCTGCCCCCTGACTGTGGTTCCACTTCGGCGGGTCGTGCGTCCAAGGGCATACTTGTTGAGATTGTTGACTGTGTCACTGAAGATCTCGCCGCATTGCGAGTGCAAGTGTGGATCTGACACGTTGAGTTGAGTGCTTGTTTCTGCACGCACCTCTCAGGACGTGACTGTACCGGGTCATGATCATCGGGAAGGCGCCCTCAGAAAGCATTGAAATTCTGTATCCGAAGCTCTGAAGCCCTAAAACCTGGTAAAACCCTAGACGATCCTAGACCTAAACATGCTCCTGGAGTTTTTCATTGTTTTCACCTGTGTGCCGCCGTTGCCTTTTGACGCAAACTTCTGCGCAGGCTCGCCTGAATCCTCGACGACCGTGGGGTCAGGCACTTCCTGGGAGCCCGGACGTTGGGAATGCCTCCCGGAGCCTTGGGAAGAAGGTGTGAAGATCTTGTTGGCTTGGGGTAGTGTTTGGGGTTTTCTTCGGGGTTTCCTGGGTTGGGTTTCAATGATTCAGGGTAGAGGCTTTGGGCTTTGTGGTTCAGTGCGTGCGGATTTTAAGATGATGGAGCCCGAAGGAGCAGTATCACTAGAACACCCATGGCCCATTACTGCCTCAAGGAGGAGCTCTCGCTGAAGCTGACGGTGGACTTAGAGGGAGATGGCATGCCCGTGACCGAAGCAGACTCGCCGCATTTGGAAGGATCTGATTGTGCCAGGCTCTGTATTCGGGTCGCGTAGTGTCTGGGATGTTCAACCTGTGCTTGATAAGCACTTTATGGCTTTATGGCCTGCATGTGTCCTTATGATCCCATACTGTAGCTTTCTTGATATTCCGAATCATCTTGCGGGTAATGGTAAGATGCTGCTTGGAATGAGGGAAAGCCTTTGGCTTGGCATTGGTCGAGTCGGCTTCGTTGCCTTCCAGGTGAAGCTCTGCATGGAGAGGCCAACCCCTCTGGACAGCTTCCTCCCGTCGGAGAGTGTAGCTTGGCATCTCTGCAGGCTGCAGGGCTCGTCACACCGCTTCTCTGCTAAGGACTGGGAAGAGTTTCGAAGCTGGTTCGAGCCCGAAGTCAACCGCGCCATCCACTTGGACAGCATTCATGTAGCCTTAGGCATTGCGTCGCCTCCAGAAGGGTAGCTTGCCTGCTCTGGCGGTTCCGGAGGACAGCTACACCCCGGACAGCACTGCCATCCCCCTCGTGTTACCTTTTTTGGGAGATTGGCATCGTCTCAATGCCGGTGCCAGCTTTCAGGGGCATGCAAGCCGTGAGCCCTCAGCCTGAACTTCCATGTGTCGGACACCCTGCAAGGCAAGCTGCAGATTTCCTGCATTGAGACGGATCAGCATGCCTCGAGGCCGCCCGTGACGGTTTGGAAAGGAGCTGGGTCCCAGACCGCAACCCCTCAAACCCCCTAAATCCGCGACCCGAAACCGTACTCAGCTCTCGGATGTGCCAGGTTCATCCTCGAGGCCTCGCAGCTTACAACATGCACCATCCGAGGAGCGCCTCATGAGACGGCTCGCGAGGTGAGGTGGCTTTGAGGTGAAACGCTTGTGCCAAGTCCTGCCGGACACGAAGCTGCCGTAGTATGGCCGTGTGACGGTTCGACTTGACCAAGGCATCTTAAAGTCCAGTCCCTATACCTTGCTGGTCCGTCCAGTGTTTCAATGCCTTTGCGTGGAAGCTCCGAGTGCATTTGTTTAATTCGAGCAGTTAGTGGCTTTGCATGGCACAGCAGCGGATTTACGGCAAAGGGGCCAGGCAGAAACCACGTTAAAGACTGGCTCAAGCAGCATAGGGGCTTCGCGAAACTCTGAGCATGATATAATTGCAGCGTGTTTTGCTTGGTTAGGCATTCTTCGCTTCCCATGAGCAGGGAACCCGGGCAGTACATCTCTGGTATAGCTCTAGTCTGAAGGATCGCAAGCTGGAGGGTTGTGGTAGTGCTGACGCTCTGGCGACGTAGATCCGCAGGGCTGTCTGGGTATAAAGTATACAGACGGCTCAATTTATTCCCGAGGGGATTCTTTTTTCGTCCCCGGGCGGGTCTACTATCCCGAGGAGGTTCATTCTTCTCATGGGTGGGCTGTGTCACTATGTGTGGGTCTTTCACGGAAGACCCTTAGACCTTCTATGCATTGTTCGCAGGTTGCACGAGGGGCGCCTGCCCCCATGACTCAAGGGAGAAGTCACAGTCAACAGGACCAGATGTTTGTGGACTTTTACTGGGCATGACAAGATGTGGTGAGGATCCTGAACTTTCCTGGGTCTACAAGGATCCTTGACTTTTGCAGGTCCATGATTGAGCGGCTGGCGATTTATGTCTCCATCGAGTTCGTGCAAGTCTTTAAGGCAGAGTTTGCGCATCTTGAAAGGCTGTCATGTCAGACGGTCTGGGTGCTACTATGAAAAGACACTGCAGTGAACAGATCTGCGGGTGTCATGGATCCATTTTCGCTTGATGCATCTCGATGTTTGATCAGAGCTTGGAAAGAGCGACGCACTGGCTCTCCTCGTGCGCTGGGGCTCTGATGACGCTTTTTGGAAAGGTTTCGTCCACCTAGGCTCAAGCAAGGTCCTCTCGGCAGAGGAGAAGAATGCCGAGCCCACAGATGCCGAAGGTCTTCGTTTGTCTGACCTCAAACGTTTGGAAAGGCCATCAAGGAGCACTTGCTCCGTCTTGTGAAGGCCCGATGCTTTGAGAAGGATTCCAGTACGAGCCATGCCCGGCTTGCATGGCCGCCGCGCGGTTTCGTGAGGCTGCAACTGACGGAGGGCTGCCTCACATTCAAGAGTTGACGATGGCAGCCCAGCAACAAATTGCAGAGTTGCATTTTGGCGTTGCTTACTTGACACCCTTCATTGAAGAAGGGTCTAGAAGCTGCAGATGTCCGCGCGTAACACCAAGGTCCTGCGGCGAGTATGCCGGTTTGAGTTTCCCATGAACTGGGCTTCGGCCTCGGCAGTCAGAAATTCAGCCCAGACGATTTCTACCGAACAGGGCACTCCATTGAAATTCCCTAAAACCCCAACCCTTCCTTGAGGATGGCTTGGCTCGTCTTCTGCTAGCTGAGCTGCAGGAGGGGGGTTATCAGTCCGATGCTCTTTTTGGGGTTCAAGACTTCCTTTACGGGTACTTTACTGTAAGGGTTAAAACATCAAGGGTTATTCGGCAGTCGAATTAGAAGGTTACTGTTAAGGGTACCGAAGGGCCATATACTATATGATTCGTGGGACGTGGGATTCTCTTGTTACCGTGGCGCCGCAGGGCCTGCGAGAGAGGGGCTTTAGCGAGGCAGCCGGGCGCTCGGTTGCGTGTTTTTCCTGAGCTTTTTGGGCGTTTTTTTGTGGCTCTTCCTTCCTACCAAAAGGCTCTGGCCGTCGTGCTGGTGCTGCATCAGGCCATGGCCTAGTTGCTGTAGTGTCTGCCGGGGGAGCAAGCATTCAGGGAGCCACAAGAGCGGGGGGACTCCGGCTTGCCTGTGCCACAACTCCGATGCCGTGAGGGACTTCAGAAAGAAAGCGCAGAAAACTGGCAGGTGCTCAAGGAGCAGAGCTCCAAAAGGCAGGGACTCACTGTTGACGAGCTGCGATTACTAGCCATAGTGAGAAATGCTGCAAAGCAGATCTGACAGATGGAGCTAGACAGAAGATACTTTGAAGCCTGGGCTTGTACCACACCCCAAGGAAGCACTCTTGCTTCAGCGCAAGGATCTTGCAGGGTGGGCCATGCTAACTCTATCGAAAGCTCTAGGTCCGCTTTCCAGCCAGAGAGTCCGGCTACACTTGGATTCGGTTCGGGATGTTTAGTATTTAGGTTTAGGGTTTAGGGGTTCAGGGTTTAGGGTTGTTCGGGGTTACCAAGCCTGTGCTGAGCCGAGAGGCTGCTGTCCTCCAGACGCGAGTTCCACCAGCTCGGGGGCCTTTTGGTGGAACCGCTCGGAGCCGCCCGGGGCTCGCATTCTTCGCGCCAGCAGGGAGCTGGGTAAGTTTTGGGTTCAGGGTCAGGGACTTGGGTTTAGGGTTTAGGGTTTAGGGTTTAGGGTTTAGGGTTTAGGGTGAGTTTTGGGTTGGGTTGGCGAGCTCCAGGTTTGGGCGCTGAAGATGGAACACATGCGACACCTCAAGAACCAGATGCAGCGGCCTCGGGTCAGAGAGGCGGAGACTGGGTTCTTGTTAAGGGATTTAATTTAAGATACCATAATAGGGATCTATAGTAAATAATATGGTTTCCTTATTATGGTAACTTAAATTAAATCCCTTAACAAGAACCCAGGAGAGCACAGGAACATCCCAAAAATTTCGAGGTTTCTGAGCCCTTCCACTCCCGAGCCACTCTGCAGGTCTGAGCTGGTGGACGACCGGCTCTGGCGGCTGAGCCGACACTTGGATGGCTCCTTCCTTCTGCTGCTTGCCGGCCCCTTAGATCTAGCAGGGTTTAGGGTTTAGGGTTTAGGGTTTAGGGTTTAGGGTCTAGCACTTGGCCGGCACATGAAAGGCACATGCCATGGAAAAGTCCTTGGCCCCAAACCCTGGATGCTGCCCGAAAGATCTACAAGTCCTCAAGCCTGGGAAGTTTCTGGGAAGCATCAGGTCCAAGGCTTCGCACACTTGCACGAGAACGCTTCTGGCCAGTCGCTCAGAGCTTGCCCTAAAGATCTCCGCGCTGCTTTTGGGCCCTCCCGCCCCAGGCCCGCAGATGGTTCAAATGGTCCCGGCCTGAGGCTCTTTGGCAGCGGTGGTCAGGGTTTGATATTGATCCGGCCTGGAAGAGTTGATTCGCCTTCCATGCTCATGGAGCTCTCCCTAGGTGAAGGAGCACGTGGAGTTTCTCCTTGCCGAAAGCTGAGCCTGGTGTGATCTATTGCAGTTTAGCTGCTTGCAATCTGGAAGAAGGGGGAGGCAGCCAGCGAGAGCCCATCCCATCCCAGCTCCAGTCTCCATCCCGGCGACAAGATCGTGTGTGAAGGAGTAGAGTCACTTCCGTAGCTGCCGGATCTTCAGGTGCTTCTGCAAAGCCACTCGCAACAGCTCATCCATTGTCCCAAGCTCGGACGGGCCCAGTGCCCATGATGCAGTTGCGGGACTTCGGTGAAGTTTGGCGCACCTGGCAGCCTTGTCTCTGAACTATCGGCTTTGTGTGCCAGGGCACTGCGTTGCTTGGGACAGCCGCTAATCAAGGATTGCCCGCTTCAAGAACAAAAGCAGATGCCATTCATGCATCCGTTCCTTGCAGTTGCTTCATGGCGGTCCTTTTGCATGTGTGGGTTTCCTAGTGCCACCTGGGGGTTTCCGAAAAATAGGGGACCCTAATATAGTACCCCAAATAATGGGATCCCGATTATAAGGACCCCTAAATAAGGTACCCCCTATTTTCTGAAACTCCCACCTGAAGACGACGCAGAAGCCACACGAAATTCCTTTCGTGAGCCTTTTTCAGCGGATGGTGTCCAGCCTGGCTCTGTGCTGCCTCTGGCTACCTGCGCTCAGACCTCAGGGTTTAGGGTTTAGGGGTTTAGGGTTTAGGGTTTACGGGTTAAGGGGTTTAGGGGTTTAGGGTTTAGGGTTTAGGGTTTAGGGTTTAGGGTTTAGGACCTCAACAGTACCAGGACAGTGGCTGAAGCAGATGCGCACCTGCGCCCTGCCTTGCGATCTGAGGCGAGCAGTGCCTGCCGACCTGCTCGTGGCAGTGAGGGAGGGCGATGTGGCCGGAATGCGCCGCTCAGCTTCAAGTTGGTTTAGGGCTCTGCCAGGCCGGAAAGAGCATGGAGAAGCGCTGTGAAAAATTGCTGCCTTGCAAAGGACAACTTCTTGACTGGCGTGGTGACTTGTCGCAGAGGGACCTGCTGAGGCAGGCTGTTAGCGGAGTGCATATCATAAGACATATACCATACTTTATTTGGTCTCCACTTTGTGGCGCCGCCATGAATGTACCAACCATCCTATTTCTAGCGATGTAATGCCCCATGGGTCTCAATCCAGCTGCGCATTGAGGGTATGTAGTCAACAAACATCCCCTAAGTGGCAACCTATCGGTGTTTTCGACCCCTCTTCATTTTGTATGCACTTGAGTGCGTGATTGCTGGATGCTTCAGCTTTCTGTAAATGATCACTCGTAGCTCTTTCTGCTCATGTGGGAGAAGGCGCTGGTAGCTTTGACAGTCCTTTTGAGTAAGGGGCTTGAGCCATCGCGTTTTGTGCAGCTCCCTGGACCGTGCGAGTGTGACTGTCAGTGCTCGTGCACCGTGGATACGGAACCATCAGGAGATTCGGGGTTGAGTACCCCAGTCTGGTGTGTGTTTGGTGGAGCACTGTGCTTTAGCCACATTCTTGTGTTCTGGTTTGGCCGACGCTCTTCTCCGCCATCTACAGCCCACGCTGTGCCTAGCAAGCCTCCACCTGGATCCAGTCCGCGAAGACGAGGACGAGGGGTCATAGAGGATGCATCTTGGTGACCTGGTCCGTGTATGGTATACAGATGACTCGGTGTGGCATGAGAGGATAGTGCTGTTAGAAGGTGATGGCGACGACATGTTTTGGA